AAGATAGCGGGGAGTATGCCCCTTTGTGCTCCACTGCCAGTAGAGACTTTGGCGTCGCCAACAACATTGGGGATGTCAGTGGTTTAGGATTTTTTTATTTTACAGGATTGTTTGGGTTTTTGTTTCGTTCGTTTTTCATTTTCTTAAGCTTTTTTTTTCTTCATCTTATTATTCTCTGTTAGCTATTCCTCTTGCGCACGGCGAGGTGCCGACTGTATTCTTGGTGTTACCACTGATGGGTGTGGACAGGCAGATTATCCCAGCCAAGGCAAGACGCTTGGACGGCAAGAGCGGGAGAACAGCTCCCGATCCTCTAGAAAGGATTGATGTGCATGGTCGTCGTTTCTGTCGTTGAGCTTTCGTTGGGGTCCGCGCGCCCCGCCAGGCTACGAGTGTGTGCGTTGCGAATACACACTTATGCAAGTCTTCTTTTTACGAGGTGTGGTGTTAGAGCAGCGGCGAAGGAGAGCACAAGCGGCAGGTAGAGAGAGAAAGAGGGTGAGAGAGAGAGAGAGACAGACAGACAGGCACAAGAGAGAACAGACAGAAGAGAGAAGAAAAAAAGTTGCTCGCGCTCCACTGATTCCACTGATTCCATTGATTTCACTGATTCCACTGATTTCCGCCATTTTTCACCGAAGTTCGATACGTCCTTAGTGTGCGGGAGTATCGTCCAGTGGAGAAGTGGAGATTGGTTCCCAGCCACGTATTATTCAGAAACCCACCTACACTGCTGCGCGTGAGGTTTCCGGTGTGGTGACACGGGTGTGCACACGTAAGCGGCCATAGTTTTGAGAGGACTTGAGCATCGAAGAGTGTCAGGAATGGAAGATTTAAATAATTTTATATAGACGGCGGCGAGCTACCCAAATCGGGAACGGTCGCGAAATAGCACTGAGTTACACCGTTCATCACCGGTGTGCGCATGACAACTACGGTATTGTGGACTCCAGACGATCTGGTGCTCCACGGTGAGCAGCAATGCAACCGTTGAGCAACCTTTGGTTGTCGAAGCCGACTGAAGAGGCTCATCACCACATCCCGTACAGAATTGCCGATTTATGGTGGTTGAGCGTCTTCTCGTGAACGCTGATTCGCCCCAGGCATTTGTCCGGGCAGGACCCGCCCGCGAAAAATGTTTTTTTTTCTCTTTAATTAAAATTGTAATTTTGTTTTATTTGTAATCAAACAAATTGTTAATATTGTGATTTATAATTGTAGATTTGGATTTACTCTTAATTTTCCGTTTCTTTCCATCCCAAGCTCTCTCGCGCGCGAACGTCGCAACCGGCATTTCCGGCAGGTTACTCGAGAGCCAAAGCATTTTTACTTTTCGAATCCCTGCGTAAATAATTTAGTAAATATAGTCACGGGCAAACATTGATTTTAATAAAACCGACTCTCCATTTACATATTCTTCAATAGAAAATTTTAGAAAATGTGCAAGAGAGGTAGTCAAATTGGTGACACTCTTGTTCGACATTGTAACGGTAAACGTCCCATTAGCGCTAGCAGCCCAACCACGCGGCTGCCTGCGAGGGCAGCACCTACCGGTTGGGGAAAAAAGTAACGAGGGAATTCGGCACGAGACGGGATGGAACGCGCGCGAATATAAATGAAGGAGTCGCGGATTAGCAATCCGAGAGCCTAGCTGCAGTGAGCAATAATAGAGAAGTTTTCCTGAGTTTTTTCAATTGTAAGAAATAATCACAGCTCAGCCGATTCTATCGTTGGGCTTTTGTTGGGCGCGTCGTGCCATGCTGTGATTGTGCATATGTGTGCAGACTTTCATGCCTTTTCTATTTGTTTGAAATGCCGTGCAATGCGATTAACGAAGCCAAAAGTGGTGACAGAGCAAAAGAGAACGTAGAGTGGAGTAACAGAGTCACAAGAAGTAAAGAGGAGAGAAAGAGAGATAGAAAGACGCAAGTTACATGCTCAACCGATTAAGGTTTCAACAACAATTAAAATCGATGCGCTAATCGGTTTTTACTGTCTCTGATTGCGGTGATCAGTATCCATCACGCCGTCTTGTATGCAGTCGCTACTCAATCCCCGTCGAGGTTTCCCCTTTTTTCGCATGATATACTCTCGTGCAGCAGACAATGCACTCTGTGGAGAAGTTTGATTTTGTCCGTCCACCAGTACATTGTCTTTTTGTTCACTCTGTCTTTGCGTCGAGTCATCGTAGTATCGTATAGTTGTGTCATCAGGTTTATCATCTTATCCGTTATCTAGTTTGTTCGTTCCTGCATATCGAGTCCTGCCGGAACAACTTCAGAGGGTGCCGTCGCTTCCTGTAGCAGTTCTTCAAGGCATACTTTGTCTTGTCTTTATAGATTTCAGTACTTTGGGATCCTATATCTGGTCTGTTTGTTACGTTGAATCATTGTTTGATCCATCGCCTGAAAGACTGTGCTGATGATCGCTAGTTATGTAGTCTTCGATCACTCGTCAACTTCTTATCTATGATGAGATCTTATCTGAAGTCCTTGTTACATCGGGTATTAAGTATCTGCAGCATGGTCGTCCGTCTGTCAGCGTCGTTCCTCGGTTGGTCACTTTCAGATCGAGCCTTGCAGCCATCTCTAGTAGTAGCCTACCACGTTTGTTCTTCATGGTCATGTTCCACTCCATCGCCCTGGAGTTCTATCGCTCGCAACGACAAGATAGTCCAGGAAGTCTTTAAGGGCATCCTCCAGTTTGCCGATTTTTTCTTCGACCACTACTGTCGTGTAGTTTAGTGTCAGGTATACACTAATGTAAGTGATGATGTCCATCCTTATCCACACGTAATCCTTCCTCTTTGCAAATGTCCGTATTCTTCTTGCTAGTTTTTCCCTTACCCATGTGGAAACGCGCCAGAGATATTTTAAAACCAACCGTCTTGTGCTCGTAAGTCCCACAATTGCTCGCTTAGTATCAGTATGTCTGCGTTTCGTGTTTTCACTATTTATGGAATCAATAACTGAGCAGTCTCACAGTTGCGTAAGTTCCGTTGTAGGATTCTTATCTTTTTGGTTTACTCTCTTTCATTCCAACCTGATATACTGCACACTTCACCATTCCCGGTACGTGAACAGTTCTTTCCCCCCGCACTTCGAAGCATAAGAAATATATCAGTTGGCCAGGTTTACCCGACATAGCTGGTCAAGCCTCATTTCTAACAGCACTGTCCTCTGTTCGGTCCTTGGCAGTCCGTTCATTTGTATCCATATCCAAGTCACCAGTAGCATTTCGGAGCTGTCAGTCTATTGCTGACCCAGCAATAGGTCCATCCGATTTTGATTCTGCCTTTCTTGAGTAGTCATAGACCTGTGTCTCTATTCACTTCACATGCGTCTAAGCAAATATCGCTCTTATTCGATCTGGAAATATAGATTTTAAAGTTCATGTTTTATCCTGTTTCTCGTTTGAGTGCGTCCTTGACATCATTTATGTCTGTGATACACTGTAACGTTCAGAGCATACAGCGCATGCTCGAAGTGCTCTCGTTCCTCGTACCACTACCCTACAGAACCCTTGCCCAAGCGTAAGGTGATCACTCATTAGCTGTTTCGCTCTTTTCCTCATCCAACAGTCTCCATTTACTTACATGATTAGTTTTCATCTGCGCCTATTCAGGGTCCGCAGTGAGTGGCCAGCTTGGGAAACACCCTGTCTCCTTTTCGACTCCTAGGTCAGAGCTCGAGAGCTTACCCCCGAACGATGCTAGTTAACACCTACTGAGAAAGGGGGCTGCTTACCTATTTCATTTGAGTTCTAGATATTTTCTTCACCAGGTCACTTCCACAAGACAGAATTTCCCCCTCAAAATGGTTGGTTTTCATCATGCAAGCTCAGTGGAGCTTGGTTTGGTAATTCGCCCTCTCTACGCCGATTTAGATCAGGCAGACGAGTTTCAGTCTTCCGGCTACCGTCGCACTCAGTCACCCACTTGTGAAATCATTCCTAGGAATGGTTCTACTCCTGTGAGACTCGGCCTAATAAGGGTTCGGTTCATTAACGGACTCGAATCGTCAGGTATGTGTGTTATGTCGCGACTACGTAGCTGAGTTTGTATTTTGTAAAAATGCCGTTCGTTGTTTATACATTATTTCGTTTTTCAATTGATTGCTGATGAAATCAAAATGAAGAAATAGTTACGTCTCGGGACGTAACATGTGCATCAAAACCATAAGCAGGTATGTTACTGGATTTGCGGTTTCAAAGGCTACTGTCTACGCTTGAAACCCACCATTACTCAGCGAAAATCACCGGTACTATTTTGTGTTCGAGACCAGCGCCATCCCTTTGAAAGCTGATCCGAAACCACCTCGGCCAGAGAAGAGTTCAGCCTCTGGTGAGTGATTTCGCTAGATTGCTGGCTTAATTAATGGGTGTAGGGGTGAGGTCCTAATTCAAAAAGAAAGTTAATTAATGGAATCAACGACTTTGGACAGTAGTCGTGTAGCTGGCCATGAAATGAAATTCGCAATCAAATAATAACTGGTAAATAGGAAGCGGGGAAGGGGGTAGGGAGGCCGAGTGTTTTGATATCTAACTTTTGGGCCTTGTGATTGTAGGCATTACTGTTGGTTCGACTGCAACATTGAATATTTCCATAAGGCAATTAACAATAATGCACAGGTCAGATGCATCACCGTGACCTTTTGGGGTTATTTTGGGGGTTGAGGGGTTTTCGAATTTTGCTGCCATTGAGACTTTTAATCAGCGTGTTGAGAACTATCAGTTTGCAAAATTTCATACAAATTGACCGGAACCTATTTTTCGTCAGGATTGTGTGGGGTCCCTTGCGCATACTTGGGTCTTGAACTTACGATTCTTGCGCAGAAGCCTGAGCTCTTACTCACTGAGCCACTGTCATTCAAATACTAAAATATGATATATACCGTAACGCCATGAAAAAAATACAGTTTTAATTTTAAAGCCCCAATTTTGTGTCTTTTAATATAATTAAATATTATATTCAATACTATAAAATGTTGATACTGTTTTAGGGAACGAAACAAAATATTGAATTTTTTATGAAAAAAACCAAATCATATAGAGCTTATAAAAAAATTAAAAAATATGAAGAAGAGTTTGACATTAATGAATTTCCGGAGGAAGCTATGAAAATTTATATAATGGCCCATTCGGCATTAATGAGGTAAATATATCTAAATTATTTTTTATACTTTCTAATATAAAAAAATATTTAAAAAATATAAAAAAATTAAAGGTTTTCAAATAACCTTCAAGCTACTCATATTTTCCATATTTTTAATTCAATAAGCGACTGAAAATTGTTTTTACATACACTGCCCGTCAATCACTTTTGCCATGCTTACCTCAAAATTAGGCAAACTTGAAAGTTTTGTATCTCGGTCGGAAATCATCGTATCACAAAAAACCGCAGGGCATTTTAAAGGTGATTGCAAAAGCTTCCATTTAAGACGTGCAGAGACTTAAAAATGAAAATATGTGTTTTTTACAGTAAAAAAACTGTTTAAAAAAATTTCAATTTTTTTAATCTCGACTTAAATCAATGCCAATTTAGAACCAGGCGGTGGAGGGCAAATCGATCGGAGAGATTCGGAGGGTAATGTTTTTCCCTTTAAAATTAGCCCCCGCGGGGTTCTATCCGATGTTTTTTAACCGAGTTACGGCGTTTTTTGTAAAAAAATAACCTTTTTTTTCAATCCTCAATTACTTTGACTTGCGTACGTTTTGGAAAAAAATGCCAAGGAGAAAAAAGTTTCATTTTGTGCCCAAGAATACGATGCAACGGTTATCGAAAATCGTTTAGATCCGCGTACCGGATTAAGAGCGAGAGCGTTCGGTTCGCGAGAGAGAGAGAGAGAGCGCGTAGGGGCAATGACCGGGAGGGGAGGCTCCGACCGGGAGTATGACTGTGTTATTCAGTCTGTCAGCGTCGCGCTAACCTCCATTTTCGTGAGTTTTTTCGTTTCCTGGTGACTTTGAGAACTTGCGTGCGGTGTGCTAACGGCAACAGCAGCAGTAAGTGCAGCAGCAGCAGCAGTGAGTGCAGCAGAAACAGCAGCAACAACCGTAGTAGCAGCGACAGCAGCAACAACAACAGTAGCAACCGCAGCAACAGTATACAAGGCGGTACAGCGAGCAGCGAAGCGGCGTTTAGCAATTTGTTGTTCGGATACGGTTGGCCACCGTATCCTCGTCGTTCTAGCGGTAGGTGCACCTCTTCCCCTTTTTAATTGTTGTTACAATTAGCGTGCGAATCCGCGCAGCGAGCGCGAAGAATTTATTTGTTGCGTGCGAGCAGGTAGTTCGCGGTGATCGCGGTTTTCTCTCTCTCTCAATTTTAGCGTGTCTTGTCATTCACGCGAGCGTGCGTAAGTCTCTCGGCAGATTCCCCGTGTCATTGATTTTGTTGAATAAATCAATCATCATTTTTATTTAAACGAGTTTCGGTTATTTAGTCTTTCCTTTGTCCGGAGGTCGCGTCAGTGTTTATTTTCAGTGGATTCGAATTCGCCGGTTGCGTAGCACGAATCGTGCGAATACCGATAGACGCGAATCGACAACTCGAGTTCCAGCGGCGGCCGCACGAGCGCTACTAGCAAGGGGCGACAGCGCCGCCAAGCGGTGAGTTGAGGGAACCCAACTCGGAATAGTAAGAGACTCTGCGCAGGCGCACTCCGAGACAAGGTAGGTTACTGTGCTTTAAGCACAGAGATAACAAGGCTTCGTCTAGTCGTAATAAAGGTATTTTCTAGAGATTATCGACTAAGCGACAGTCTGTTACAACGAAAATAAAGTCAAAATAAAGAAATAGAGAAAAAAATTTTTTTCGATTTTTTAGCGCATTAAAAAAATAAAGGAATTTAACGTTTTTTTTACGCTTAGTTTTAGTTTTTTTGTGATTTACTACGTCCCTAGACATTTTAAAACGAAGCGTAAAAAAAAGTTAAATTCCTTTATTGTTTTAATGCGCTAAAAAACCGAAAAAAAATTTTTTCTCTATTTCTTTATTTTGACTTTATTTTCGTATTTTTGGACACAAAATGAAACTTTTTTCTCCTTGGTATTTTTTTCCAAAACGTACGCAAGTCGAAGTAATTGAGGATTGAAAAAAAAGGTTATTTTTTTACAAAAAACGCCGTAACTCGGTTAAAAAACATCGGATAGAACCCCGCGGGGGCTAATTTTAAAGGGAAAGACATTACCCTCCGAACCCCTCCCATCGATTTGCCCTCCACCGCCTGGTTCTAAATTGGTATTGATTTAAGTCGAGGTTAAAAAAATTGAAATTTTCTTAATCAGTTTTTACTGTAAAAAACACAAATTTTCATTTTTAAGTCTCTGCACGTCTTAAATGGAAGCTTTTGCAATTACCTTTAAAATGCCCTGCGGTTTTTTGTGATACGATGATTTCCGACCGAGATACAAAACTTTCAAGTTTGCCTAATTTTGAGGTAAGCATGGCAAAAGTGATTGACGGGCAGTGTAGATTCATCGTACCAAAATAATTTTTCAGACGGCAAAGACTGAAAAAATTGTAAAAATTGCACATTCTCATATTTTGGTCACAATCAAATCTCTACATATTTCTAAATAAACTTGAAATTACTTAAATTAAAATTTATGACATATTTTCACCGTAATAAGAAACTCACAATCGTTTTTAGTAACCTGTGTGTGTATCACGTTAAAATAGTATTTCATGTCTCTGTACATATGAAAAAGCCTTAATAATCGCATATTCATTCAGTTTATTTTTGGCTATACTCAAAGCTTCAGTACTGATATATTAAATCCCGATCATATGATCAGGACTTACTGTTCATTTATTTATCTAGGTAATGTTATTTACATTGTATAATTATTCTCACCATAATTACTCTAGAATTGTAAAAAAAACGATTATTTACTTAGTATGACATTAAGGCAAAACTTGCCTAGTCGTTACAGCTCTTCGTTAGTTACTAACTCGATTTTTCTGGTCTGCTCATACTGATTAACTCAGTTTTTGTCAGTAGACTCCGCTTCGATTAGATAGTCGAGAGTCAGAAATAATTTCACACGAATACACGATTTCCAACACTGATAAAATATTTTATTTAACTCAAATAATATTCAATAATTAATTCAAAATAGTCAATCATTACGCAATAGTCAGTAAATAAATATAACGTGATTACCCTGTAATATAAATTCGGTATAAGCTCCGACTGATACAACTTCAATTTACATACTGTAATAATTTTCTCCGGATTAAAGTCTTTGTTTGTCCGGGGTTGTTTTCCTTGGATAAGATATGTACAAAATTATTTAAATCGCAAGCCCAGGTTGCACGAATACGCCTTCGCTATTAGACTACTGCGGGGTCCAGTATCACGGGCGATTTCGGAGATAGTGAGAAAAAGGTAAGCTGATGATCAATAATAGACGTGCACTTCTTAAAGATACAAACGCTTTATTCATCTCGAGTACAATATTGTCACGTATGTACAAAATGGCGACATGCTAGTGCGCAATAGACCTGAGAATTGGGTAACGTTCAATGCTGCTCCACTCTAACAATTCGCACATATTTTAACACACGCACACCCTAGTCCACTGGTCCCGAATTTACAGATCGACGGCATAGCTGCACCTTTTCCTGCACACTCGGCTGGTCGCCAATACGCGCATAAAAAAAAGATAGAGAGAGAGAGAGAGAGAGAGCATAGGACTAACTGTCAACGCGAGCGCTTCTGATTGTTATTGCTCGATCTCTGATATCGGTAACGATGTGCGTGCGAAGTCCATGTTGTATGTAAACAATTTTTAGCGTTCTGTTTTATTTAAAACACAATTGTAAAAGCTTATGTTTTCTCTAGTTGATAACGCAAATGATACCGTGTCAGTATTTATATTAAATGTCGTTTTCTGATCGGGCAAATTTATTTTGGTAACAAACCTTCTGTCTACTATATCATATTTACTTTGGAAGCAGTTTTCCTGTGGTAACAGTGACCAAAAGGAATAACCATTTCCTATGTTAATGTAGTGTTGGTCAGAAAATTTACAATTAGTCCCTGAATTTAATTGTAATTTATCACTGTTTAGGCTATCTGCTACACAACTTTCTAATAATGTTAATTTTATAATATTTTGTAGAAATGGATTGCTGTATGGAATGCTGTTGAAATAGATGGCTCCTGAATAAGATTTTTCTTCTAATTTTTCCAGCTAAATCTAACCTTACACTTTGTTTGAATTAATTTTCAAGTCGGCTATTGTATGTATGTTATGATACTTGACAATTCTTATATTACGAATATTTCTACAATAATCGTATGAAATATTATAAATATATTCTTGAATCGCATTTATGTAGGCCCTAAATAATAAAATATTTTGCAATGTAAAAAGCTGTGCCTCTTCTTATTTTAAAATGTAGAGTTTTAATTTATCTAAATTCCGTTGATTTTAAAAGCTCTATTATAGCTACTGTTGAGTTGATTTGCATTTCATAAAAATCGCAGTTTGCTGTGTTTAGAAGAAAGTATGTTGTGATGGGCCGCAGTCGAATTCCACTATGCTATCAATTGTTTGAAAGAAGTAAAATAGAGTAAAAATAGCACTGTTCTTCTTATTATGTTTCCTAAAATTAAGAAAATAGTGTATTTGAGCATATCTACAGAAATGGGCCATCGTGTGTCGCCAGTATTTTTCTTCAATGCAAATATGTTCTAGTTATTATAACCATTAATGGTTGAACATACATATCAAATCGAGGGTGTACTATGAATTTCAGGTATTACAAGTTAATAATGCCTGAGTAATTTGTGAAAATACACGTGAAAACCTTCGATTTTTAGAAAAAACAGTATGTCGCCAACGATTTTTTTGTTCTTTTCAAATGTTTTAAAGTATCGTGCCCATAGAAAAATTATATGTGCAAGATTGTTTTTAAGTCATTTTGCTACGCTGAAACCGATTCTCGCTATCCCGAATAGGTGCAATCAATATTGAAGGTGTGATAGGGACTTAAACTTGTGTCGCCAATGTTGACGAAAATTTTTATTTTTTAGTTTTCTGATTTTTTAAACCTCGTGCCTTCAGTTTCTCAGTTTGGAAATAAATGGATCGTATTCTACGGCAAAAAATGAAGAGAATGGGCTTCATTCGAAATATGTGCTC